CTCTCTCTGGTGAGCACACACACACCCTAAAGGAAATTAAATAAGTAAGTAAGTAAATATATTTTTATAGTAGTGGAGTAATTGAATTTCTTACATCACTTGCTCTGAAAAACATATACATCACTCTTCACCTAGTGGCCACTTGGAATTGTAACCAAGATGTCTAGGAGAAATAAGTTGTTCTTTAGCAGTAGTTCCTGCTAATGTATGAGAAATTCTCTTTTTTTCATATAAAAATATTTTAAAATATCCTTCTTTGTGATTATTGATAGAGAAAATAATGGCTGAAAGCGAGTACAAATTCATTTGCTTAAAAAAAAAATACAGTCAATATTTCAGTATCTAAATGCATTTGCTAATGTGCTAACCATTCATTTTAAAACTAATCACTTACCTAGCTTTGTGTACTCCAAGCTGTCGCCTGTGGCTTACAGACTAGAAGGACCTGCCTTAGAAGTCTACGCATGGGGGGCTAAAGGACTGTTTATTTTGTTCCTTGGTAGTTTGCAGAGCCCAGAAAAGTGCCTGTCACATAGTGGTAGTGCTCAAAAAATATATTTTGAAAAAGATGAATGAGGGGCCAGCAGGCGGTGTGGTGGTTAGGAGTGCTGGACTCCCACATGGCTGACTGTGGTTCAAGTCCTGGATCTGGCAGTTTGCTTTCTCACTTTCTCGCTCTTGCTCTCGCTCTAGCTCTGTCCATCTCTGGTCAAATTAAAATAAAGTTAAATGAAATAATTCTTTTTTTAAAAAATGAATGAATAGACTCTACAGCTTTTGGCAGGTACTCCTTACTATTTTTGGCCCAGTTAATTTCTTTTTCTTTTTTTTTTTCTTTGGAGAGGTTTTTGCTATAGGGCGCACACGCTTGCCAGACAGACAGAGACAGAGAGACAGAAAGTGAGAAATCATCCCCCAGGGGGGATGGTCACGCCGCAATCCCTTCTCCATTCTCCTCTCGGGATCTTGGGCACGCACGCACATGCGCCTGGTGTGAGTTTCAGCCACTGGGTCCGGGACTCGAACCGCGGTCTACTACGTGGGAGTCCAACGACATAGCCATTATGCTAACTGCTGATCCCGGCCCAGTTAATTTCTAAAAAGCACAGAACCCTCAGACTTTCACAGTTCTGTTCATGGTAGAGTTAGTTTTCCAAAGAATATTTTTCCCTTCCTGGTAATTATGTAGGTGTGTAATATTAGATGTATTTATCATTTAATTCCATTAAAACGTTCAGGATAATTGCTGAACTTTGAATGAGTGATTTGTTTTATATGCTACTTTATTAAAACTTGGTGACATTTTCTTTAAAGCAATTGACCCAGCTCCTTGGTTTTCCTGTCTCAGTTAATCTTTCATGTCACAACAGCTCCACCTTGTGAACCTTCAGGATATTGCTGCTGAAAGCATTTTAAAATGTTTTGTTCTTTTATCACATATGAAATCTTTCATTTTTATACCCAAACAAGTACATAGACGCAGCTTTTAAAAACTTATAGTGGGTAAAATGAAATTAATTAAAGATTGGTTCTGAGGTTTCCTACCTACCCGTGAACAATTGTATTAATATTTTCTAGACCATCTACTTACTGCTTTGTAGGTATAGAGCAGTTTACTCAGTCCTGGATTTAAGAATGTCTCCATTCTTTTTTTTCAATTACCAGAGGGTACATGCTCTCCCCAGAAAAAGAAAGAGCACACATGTACCCCCAGTGGGACATGGTCATGCTACAATACCTCCTCTGTTTCTCCATCCTTTCAGGACTGGGGCACACATGCACATTTGTTCAGTATGTTTCTCAAGCAGCGGGGCTGGGACCCTAACCACAGTAAGCCATGTGGAATCCAGTTCCCACACTATGCTTAACCTTTGAACTGTAAGTCTGGCCTTCTTTTGGTTTATATGGTGTATCAAGTAGGTGTCACGAGACTTGCAACAGAATCCCATGCAATGCTTTTAAATAAGTGAGAAAGTTTTACACTTTTGAATATAAATCTGTGGAGCTTTTCTGCTTGGTTAAAAGTAATGAGTGGGACTAGCAGTTAGCGTAATGGCTATGTCACTGGACTCCCATGTAGTTGACTGCAGTTCGTGTCCCGGACCCGGTGGCTTAAAACTCATGCTGGGCGTGTGTGCGTGCGTGCCCAAGACCCCGAGAGGAGAATGGAGGAGAAGGGATTGCGGTATGGTCATCCCCCCTGGGGGGGTGATTTCTCGCTTTCTGTCTCTCTGTCTCTCTCTGTCTGTCTGGTGAGCGCACGTGCCCTATAGCAAAAAAAAAAAAAAAAAAAACCTCTCCAAAAAAAAAATAGTAATAGGCAACTATTTGACTGACTTATTCCCTTGTAGTTTATTAGCCCCCGCTTAAAGGTTTTTACCATAGAGTATGTGTGCTCACTAGAGAGAGTCAGAGAGTCAGAGACAGAGAGAGGGAAAGTGAGGAATTACTCCCTGGGAGGATAGCCATGCTGTAATCCCTTCACCATCTTCCTCTTGGGGTTTTGAGCATGCACACATGCACGCAAGAACATGTGCCTTCTGTGATTTTCAAGCCGTCGGGTCTGGGACTTGAACTATGGTTGACCATATGGGAATCTAGAGCCTTAACCACTATGCCACCTGTTGGCCCTTAGTCCCTTCTTATTTTTTTTTTTTAAAGAGAGATTTTTGCTATAGAACACATCCACTCTCCAGAGAGACAAACAAAAAGTGAGAAACCACTCCCCAGAGGGAATGGCCATGCCACTATCTTTTCTCCTTCATCCTCCTCTTGGGACTTTGGGCACGTACACACACATGCTCAACGTGAGTTTTAAGCTGCCAGGTTCAGGACTCAAACTGTGGTCGACTACGTGGGAGTCCCGTGATGTAACCATTATGCCATCTGCTGGACCCAGTCCCTGTCTTTTGATGCAAAGTAACAAAAGGATTTTTCTAAAAAGTCATGTATCTAAGTAATCTGCATTTTATTTCAGTTTTTAAAGAATTATTTATTTAGTTTTATTTGTTCATTATTACTCAATTTGATTAGACAGAGACAAAGAGGAGGATGAGAAAGCAAGCTGCTAGATCCAGGACTTGAACTGTGTTCAGCCATGTGGAAGTCCAGTGCCTTAAATACCACGTCACCTACCCACTCGCTATTTGCATTTTTAAATAAACTTCTTTTTTTTTGAGAGGTTTTGGCTATAGGGCGTGTGTGCTTGCCAGAAAGACAGAGAGAGACAGAGAGACAGAAAGCGAGAAACCACCCCCCAGGGAGATGGCCACGCTGCAATCCCTTCTCCTCCATTCTCCTCTCGGGATCTTGGGCCCACGTGCCTGGCATGAGTTTAAGCCATCGGGTCTGAGACTCAAACCATGGTTGGCTACATGGGAGTTCAGCGGCATAGCCATTACGCTAACTGCTGGTCCCTTAAATCAACTTTAAAAATACTTTTTATAAAAGTTATTCATAGATACCTTTATTTGTCCCCTTTTTAGAGACTGTAAACTGAAAAAGTAAATTTAAAGTTTTATTCCTTGATAAAAAATACTTTATTGAAAACTCAATTTTAATTGGAGGACTTATGTTAAGTCCATATTTAAGTCCAGTGTGCAAGATGATATGACGGAGTATGATTTTTTTTTTTTAAGAAAGATTTTTTGCTATAGAGTGTGCGTGTTTGCTGGAGAGATAGAGACAGAGAGACAGAAATCGAGAAATCGCCCCCCAAGAGCCATGGCCACACCACAATCCCTTCTCCTCCATTTTCCTCTCAGGATCTTGGGTGGGCACGCATGCACATGTTCCCTTGAGTGAGTTTTAAGTCACTGGGTCTGGGATTTGAACTGTAGTCTACTACATGGGAGTTCAGCAATGTAACCATTACACCATATACTGGTCCCCGAAGTGTGATTTTTTTAATTTGTGTTTTTTATACTGTAAATATCTAGGAATATCTCTCTGTGAGTAACCAATTTGGGCCAGTCCTGTGATCTAGTGATTAAGGGAGCACGGATCTCACAAGACTAACCTCACAATTGGAATCTCAGCCCTTCAGCTTGAAAAATACACAAATGAAAACAAACAATAAAGCAGCCAGTTTAAGGCTATAAACAAATTACAATAGAACCAATTAAAATATTTTTATAACATACTCTTTTTTAATGTCAGACTTCTAGTCCTTTTGAGGAGGATTTGATTTTTTAAAATAACCAAATTGGGAGAATAAAGTGGGTAGCCAAACTGATTAAGTTTGTTTGACACAAAAACTAAACTGTGACCAAGTAATAAGGCCGATTTGGGGAGTCTTATAAACATCTTCTATATAAAATAGGAGCTCTCAAAATATTTCTGATAATTGGAGTGTCAGTGGAAGAAATAATGCCAGTTCTGGGATATGATTGTCTTGAAGATGTCTGTTTTCCAAGTTACAACTTCTGTTATGTTTGTTTAAAAACTGCCTTTCTGAGCCAGCAAGTGGAGTGATGGTTAGGGTTCTGGGTCCCACATAGCCAACAGCACAGTTCAAATCTAGAACCCAGTGGCTTGAAAAACACACCAGACACATATGTGTGCATGCCCAAAATGTCGAGGAGAACAAGGAGACGGGATTGCAACATGGCCATCCTCCCCGGGGGTGCTTTCTCACTTTCCCTTGCTCTCACCGCCCTATAGCAAAACAACAACAAAAACTACAACCCAAAATCCTGTCTTTCTACTCCGGCCTCCAATATTTAGCTATGAAAAATCTAAAGCCTACAGAAAAGTTAAAAGAATTATATGGCGAATAACTATATACCCACCACTTGAAATCTACAGTTACTATTTTCTTATGTTTGCCCTATCTCTTCATCCTTCATTCTTCCTTTTTTGATGCATTTTTGTTGAAAGGCCGTTGACTTCCCAGATCCGATACAATAAACAGTTTAGTTTTGGAAGAAATAGGTCGTGTTCCCTGATGTAAGAGAGCAGTTTAGCTCATGTGACCATTGACCTTCTCTTTGATTTTTCAGGATGTGTTCCACATGGTGGTTGAAGTGCCACGTTGGTCTAATGCAAAAATGGAGGTAATAGTCCACCTTACATTCACAATCAGACCTTGGATACTAGTTTTGGTCTAGCCGTGCTGACTTGCTGACGGATGAAACATCCAAGTCCAAGGTCTTCCTCTAATTTCTAGTTCCATCTCCCATTGTCTCCCATCCTGCTCCCTGTGCTCAGCTAAGCTCAGCCATTTACTGTTTGCACACAGGCCACACAGACCTTCCTTCCTCACCTTTCTGGCACTCCCACGCCTACAGTTACCTTTTCTCCTTTTATTCACTTTAAGTCCATCACTGACTGCTCCTTAATCACCCCAGCCACAAATAATCCCCTTGAAATTTTTATTGCATTTTATTAATTTCTCTCTGACACCTAACCTCGTTGCCTTTTTGGTATGAACATTATGTGCTTTACAGCACTTCATCAAACTTTTTGATGGTAACACATTTTACATATAATAGACAACTCAAATATTTGAATAATTTTAAATGCTGAAAGTTGAAAGAAAGCTGAAATTGGATAATATTTTTCTTTTTTTAAAAAAAAATCTGTATCCTTTGTTTCTCAAAAAAAGTTAGAATTTATTCCAGCTAATTCAGTTTTTGCTTTCTGTCATTAATAAATATTTCCCTCTCCCATCCTTGATAGTTTCTTTATACCTCAAGTACTCTTTCCAATTAATGGTCCATTATATTGACAGTTTTAGTTCAAATTTTAGAACTATTAGGGGTAAAATATATCCCTAATAGGAGACATGCATTCCATAATTGATTTCCTCAAATCCTTAGTTGAATAGTATTTCATACCCAAATCTATGATTCAAAATTTTTTATTTCAGATTGCTACAAAGGATCCTTTAAACCCAATTAAACAAGATGTGAAAAAAGGAAAACTCCGCTATGTTGCGAATTTGTTTCCTTATAAAGGATACATCTGGAACTATGGTGCCATTCCTCAGGTATGTCTATGCAACTGGGGAAAATGCACTTTTTTAGTTTACTAAAAATTAACTTACTGGTGTTAGTAAAGTTGCAAACACCTTCAAGATTTTGCTGTAGTAGATTTTGAAAGTGTTAAGTTTTATTTTTGTTTAAATTTGTTTTATTTCTACTATAGCTTCCTTAAATAACTTATTTTAAAGATAAAGTAAAAGAAATATTTAATTTAATAAATAGTAATAAACATTTGCAGTGTTTAAATTCAGATTTGAGAATTTATTCTTTTCTGAGATCTTTCTTTTTCTCTGTGGACTGGCTATAAGATGTACGAATGGCAGTATATTTAAGAGAGGATGTTTGATAGTGGTTACAATCACTGATTTGTAGTAGCACCAGACAGACCAGGGTTTCCATCTCTAGTTGGCTACTTTCTAGCTTACCTCTCTTGCCTCCCTTTCTTCCTCCTTGAGACATTATTAGCTACTCCCTGAGATATTAATAGTGCTTAGCTCATATGGTTATTGTGAGAATTAAAGGACTCAGTATCTGGCACATATAAGTTCTTACAACTGTTGATTCAGTGGTTAGGGTCCTGATTCCTCCTTTAGGGCAAGCTCTTCATGGTAAGGATGGGCTCCTGCTTTCTTAAACCTTTGAGGAGCAGATATATCTACATTGCTTACCACCTTAGGCCCAGCACAATGCCAGCATGTAGTAGATTCTTACCTGATATTTAAATGAAGACTCTCTAGACTCGTGTCTGTTATGAGTATACAATACATATTTAATTCTTTTTAATTTTTTTTTTTTGGAGAGGTTTTTTGCTACAGAGCACATGTGCTCGCCAGAAAGAGAGACAGAAAGCGAGAAATCACCCCCCCAGCGGGGATGGCCACGCTGCAATCCCTTCCCCATTCTCCTCTCGGGATCTTGGGCACGCACGCACATGCGCCCGGCGTGAGTTTAAGCCACTGGGTCCGGGATGCAAACCTTGGTCGACTACATAGGAGTCCAGCAACATAGCCATTACACTAACTGCTGGTCCCTTTAATTTTTTTAAAGAATTGTCCATTCCACTTTACTTATTTATTTATTTATTTTTAATGTGACCAGAGAGGGACAGAGAAAGAAAGTGTGAAAGTAAGCTGCCAGGTCTGGGACTCAGACAGTGGTTGCCATGCAGAAGTCCAGTGCCCCAACCACGACACCATCTGCTGGCCCCTATATATTTAATTCTTGCTAGGTTAATGCTGTAGAACAATTTAATGCTGTGACACTAAATAGTGTCAGTTTAGGTTTTTCTTGTTGATAGATGGCTTTTATTAACCACTATTAAATGGAATCTACTGTGAAACGATTCATTAAGTTACTAGAATACAGGTCAAACTTATTTACCCGATTGGTAATAAGTCATTTGTCTGCCTTAATTGTAGCATTTCACCTTATAACTTCAATTGGTTTAATAGCCTTGAAATATCCGTTCCTTTGGGAAAACATTGCTGAAATCCTTATACTTATGTGAGTTGGATTTTGCATCTTACTGGCAGCTTTGTTGGGTGTTGTCTTCTTTTATCCCTCTTCACTTTATTTTTTGCTTTTACTCCAGCCGAGTAGGTAATAAGTTCTGGTGAGAGGAGAACCATAACAGATACACTTTGAACCTAACTTCTTGGCAAGCACAGACTGTCAGGCCTTTTGCGAGATGCTCTGCAAGGACTCTTGCTCAGACTAAGCCAGTCAGGAGAAAGCCAAGTAATTTAAAGCTATAGAAAATCTTAATTAAACTTTTCAGTCGTGGCTCCTGCTCAGCAATGATATTTTTAAAGTTGGAACATAATTCCATTTCCATTTTAGTGGAAATGTGTTATAAAGAAAATCTATTTAGTAGAAGATATTAAGTACCCAGAAGAGTTCATCAAAGCAGTTTCCTCTTAGTATGTTTTTTTTTTTTGAGGGGGGGGGAGGTCTGTATTTGTGTTTGCATGTGATCTCAGTTAAGTAGTTGGTTTTGTTTAAGTAGAACTATCTGGGGTTTTAAAAAATAATGATCAGTTTTAAAGTTTAAATTTAGTTTAGCATTATACGTGTAATAGTGCTAACATTTCATTGAAATTATTGTGTGTAGTTAAGATTCTTAAATGCAAATAAAAGTGAGAAAAATCGCTGAAGATTTATATTTTTGCAGAAAGACATGACACGCTATGTCAGTAGCATGTATAGGAATGACAGACTCTAAGTTTAATTTTTTTTTAGACTTGGGAAGATCCAGGACACAATGACAAGCATACTGGCTGTTGTGGCGACAATGACCCGATTGATGTGTGTGAAATTGGAAGCAAGGTAATGAAATCTGACATTCTTTTCTTTAGTGGTTAAGATGATGGTAATGAAATATACCAAAGTTCATACTTTAAAAACTATTGTTAGGGCCAGCAGTGGTGTTTCAGGAGGCTGGATCCCATGAAGCTGACTGCATGGTTAAAATCCTGGACCCAGTGGCTTGAAAAACACACTGGGTGATGACAATACTTTAAAATTAGGTGTGCACAGTGGCGATGGTTGCACACCTTGTTAATATACACTTGTTAATAAAAGTCACTGAATTTTACTTTTTAAGAGGGTGAATTTTATAGTATATAAATTATATCGCAATGAAAAAGTAAAGTAAAAATTAAAATAAAGAAAAACACACTGGGGTGTGTGCATATGTGTATGTGTGTGCTCATGCGTGTGCGCATACCCAAAATCGTGAAAGGAGGGAGAAATGGAGAAAGGATTGTGGTGTGAAAGTGTGTACGATTGAATACAGATGTGGAAAAGTGGACATGTTCTTTAGTGCTTTAGAGGACAGATAACTGGGCCAGCCCGTGGTGGTTGGGATGGCTGGATCCCACATGGCCTATTTCATGGTTTGAGTCCTGGACCTGGCAGCTTGAGAAACATATTGGGTGCATAAACACGTGTGCCCAAAAATCCCTTAAGGAGGGACAAATGGAGGAGAAAGGGTTGTGGCATGATCATCCCCTATAGATAGTGCTTTCTTGCCTTTTTTTCTCTCTCAGGCAAGTTCATGCACCCTTTGTGGGAAAATTAATAACAAAATTATATCAGTAGGTAGAGGGTAGTAGGAGGCAAATTTCCTCTCAACATAAACTGTGCCTTGCCCCAAGGATTTGGAGTGATCAGTGAATTGACGCAAGCCAAATAATCTCATGAATAGTGACTTATGGTAGGGATTTTCTTGTCAGGTAGGGTTGCTCTAAGATTCTAATTACAGTTATTTCTTTATGATCTTCCTTAGGCTCAGGGAGAGAATAAACAACTTAAAGCAAAGCTGTCATTCTATTTTTAAGTCATAAAGCTTTTTTTTTTTTTTTTTTTTTTAATTACTTGAGGCCATGGGCACTCACCAAAGAGAGAGAAAGGGAAGAAGACACTCCCTGCCCCAGTGGGGTGTGGTCACATGGCAATCCCCTCTCCTCCATTCTCTATCCCATCAGGATGTTTAGTTTAGTCTTTTCCTGTTGATAGGTGGCTTTTATTAACCACTAACTTTTTTTTTTTTTGGAGAGGTTTTTGCTACAGGGCACGTGCGCTCGCCAGAAAGACAGACAGAAAGCAAGAAATCACCCCCCAGGGTGGATGGCCATGCCACAATCCCTTCTCCTCCATTCTCCTCTCAAGATCTTGGGCACACACATGCACACGCACCTGGCATGAGTTTAAGCCACTGGGTCCGGGACTCAAACCATGGTCAACCACATGGGAATCCAGCGACATAGCTATTACACCGTCTGCTGGTCCCAACCACTAACTATTAAATGGAATCTACTGTGAAATAATCTATTAAGTTACTAGAACACAAAGAACATGCACCACATGTGTTTCTCAGGCCACCAGAACCAGGACTCTCCCTTAACCACCAGGCCACAGAGCTGGCCCAAGTCAGAACATTTTTCATGTCTGACTTCCCTTACTTGTTGGCTTCTATAAAATAAATGGTAAATAAAATGCATTAAGGTATGTATTTGAAACAAATTATGGAGGCCTTATTCTTCAGCACAATCAATGATAGTGTAAAAAATATTACCCTGAATGATGTTATTGGTTTTCTTATGACCTGTAAGAAAATAAGATCTATATTACCTATTTTCAAACCATTATAGGACTGATGAAGTATTTACTTGATTGTGCTGAAGAATAAGACCTCCATAATTTGTTTCAAATACATACCTTAATGCATTTTCTTTACCTTTTATTTTATAGAAGCCAACAAGTAAGGGAAGTCTTTTAAAAATTTGCTTAAAGGGGGACCAGCAGATGGTGTAGTGGCTATGTCGCTGGACTCTCATGTAGTCAACAGTGGTTCGAGTCCCAGACCCAGTGGCTTACAACATGCCGGGCGCGTGTGCAGGCGTGCTCAAGATTCCAAGAGGAGAATGGAGGAGAAGGGATTGCAGCATGGCTATCCCCCCTGGGGGGTAATTTCTCACTTTCTGTCTCTCTCTGTCTCTCTGGCAAGTGTATGCATCCTATAGCGAAAACCTCTCCCAAAATTTTTTTTTGCTTAAAGGAACAATCGTCTGGTAAGGTTGTAGAAACTCATCTTTATTTCTCATTATCCACCAAGTAAAACTTTTCTCCCCAAATTTCATTCTGTCATGTTGTCCTTACTTGGTTATTGACTCTCAGGTTTGTGCAAGAGGTGAAATCATTGGGGTGAAAGTTCTGGGCATACTGGCCATGATTGACGAAGGGGAAACCGACTGGAAAGTCATTGCCATTAATGTGGACGATCCTGATGCCGCCAATTATAACGGTAAGCAAATGTGAAGAGTCTGGAGTCTTTCTAATTCTTCTATACCACTAAATACGACTTATAGTGACAGAATTGAAAGCCGATACTGGGGGGGGTGGTGAGAGTTGAGAGCGGAGCGGGGGGGGGGGGGGGGGGCATAGCATCTCACAAAGCAGGGTTATTTCTAATACTGAACTTGAGGCAATTAACCCAATGAATGTTCTTCATTCCAAGAAAGAAAAAAACTCAGTTTTTTACTGTTTTTTTCTTTTCTCCCCCACATACTAGCATTCAGTTGCTATGTTTTTATTTTTTTAAATGTACCATAATGGGGTTAGTAAGTGGCATCGTGGTTAAGGTGCTGACTTCCACATAGCCGACTGTGGTTCCAGTTCTGTACCTGGTGGCTTGCTTTATCACTTTCCCTTTCTCTCTGTCTCTGGTCAAATCAAAAAAATAAAAATAATTAATAAAATTTAAAAATAATTATTTTTCAAAAGTACCATAGAAGTCACCATTTTAAGGTATACAATTGAATGTATTATTATTTTTAGAGATTTTTTGCTGTAGGGTGTGTGCACTCGCTAGAAAGTCAAGAGAGAGACAGAGAGACAGAAAGAGAGAAATCACCCTCCAGGGGAGGTGACCACACCGCAGTCCCTCCTCCTCCATTTGCTCTCAGGATCTTGAGCACGCACGCACATGCACCCGGCATGTTGTAAGCCACTGGGTCTGGGACTCGAACCACTGTTGACTACATGGGAGTCCAGCAATATAACTATTACACCATCTGCTGGTCCCTTCAATGTATTTTTAAAACTATTTATCAGTTATTTTATTAGGTTCTTGGTAAGACGTTTAGAACAATAATTTGTGAGGATAAACTCCTTTTGTAAGTGCAAACACAGACCACAGGTAGCCCTGGAGCCAAGGAGCAATTTTGATTTTTGGTAAAATTTGCGAGCCCACAGCTTTCTGATCAACCTTGCACTGCTCTGTAATCTCATATTTCTCTTTTCCTGTGTCAGAGATCTCACCTTCTTGGTGTATGTGCTTCCATAGCTGCTGCTGCTTGAAGTAAGCATCAGTGAGGTGTCTTGGGATTTTCACATTGCTTATATCAATTGTGGAGGTGGCGATGACACATTTCTGATTAGTTCTTCACAGATAAACTTGATCGAGGACCAGAGGTCCAGTCACAGGTAGCAAGCCACTGCTCAGCTGCTTCAGGAAAACCACTCTCTGGCCTCTGGGGCATCCAATGAGGATGATCAGAAAGGTCCCGGGAGTGATGCTGGCTCTCAGCTTTCTCACGTGCTGAAGGGTTTTTTTGCTGTGGCTCAACAGCTTTTGAGGCACAGCCTCAGTAGGATAATACCTAGGCATTTTGCGAAGTTTAACCACCCAGGCACCATCATTGTTACCACTACCAACTGTAGTGTGTTGTGACAGTGGCAAGAACCTTCTCCTTTTTCTTTTCAACCTAGATTTAGTAGCTGAGTATTCCCTCTTGTACATGGCCTTCCTGGAGTGCGAGGCAGATTGGGAGTATCTGCTGATGTTCGGATGAGAACCAGGTTTCAGCTGCAGGGGAGCTTCCCCTTTTTGGGCCTTATTGCCTTGGGGTCACCTTTTTAAGCCCTGCCACTGGCATTAGCCTTCTTGTCTTCAGGTTTCTTCTTAGCACCCACTTCTCCGCTTTTTCACCTGCCATCTTAAAAAACAGGAAACTGGTTCAATGGTTTTCAGTTGATTCGCTGTTTATTCATTAACCATTACTATCTCACTATCAATTTCAAAGCATTTTCATCAGCCAGAAAGGAAATCTGAATTCATTGGCAGTCACCCACTGTCCCCTTTCCCTTAGTCCTTGGCAACCTCTAATTTTCTGTTTCTACAGATCTGCTTATTCTGAACATTTCATTATAACCTGAATCATAATGATGAGTAGCCTCTGCGTCTGGCTTATTTCACTTAGCGTAGTTTTCTAGGTTCGTTCGGGTCTTAGCACGTGTAGTACTCACTACTCGTTATGGCTGAACCTATTCCACTATGTGGTATGCTACATTTTGTTCATTCCTTGATTCACCAGTTGATAGACATTTGGGTTGTTTTGGGTTATTTTGAATGATGCTACTGTGAACTTCCCTGTACAAGTTTTTGTGTGGTCATGTTTTCAGTTCTTTTGGGTCTATGCCTAGGAGAACTGCTGAGTTTTTTTTTGCCTTTACCAAAAAAAATTTTTTTTAAGTCAGAGACATATGTGCGTGAGGGAGAGAAAGAATACACCCTGCAACAAGGCTGGTCGCACTGCGATCCTTTTCCCTCCAGTTCTCCACCCATCAGGATGCTGGGCATGCTCATATGTTCCTGGTGTGTTTTTCAAGCTGATAGAGCCAGAACTCAAACCCTGTCAGCCATGTGGGATCCTCTCAGTGCTTTATTGTTGCACTGTGGGGGCCCCGTTTGACCTGTTGAGGAACTGCTAGGCTTTTTTCCCAAAGTAGTTGTACATTCTCACCAGCAGTGCATGAGAATTCCAATTTACCACAGCTTCATCGACATTTATTATTTTTTAAATTATTTTAGCCATCCTAGTGAGTATGTCTTGATTGTTGAGTTGTAATTGCTTATATACATCCTGTGTATATAAGCTATATGATTTGCCCATATTTTCTTTCGTTCTTAGGTTGTCCGTTCATTTTCTTCCTTTTTTTTTTTTTTACGTTCTTTAATTTTGAAAAAAAGACAGGTACCCCCAACAGATCTTCACACCACAGTCCACCCCAAACTCAGCTAGTCCAGATCATAGACATCTGTATGTGTACTAGGTGTGTACAGGACACAAACCTGTGACTGTCCCATGGGGGTTCAGCTGTGTTAGTGCCATCCTTTAATTTTCTTAATATCCTTCAAAATACTCAAGTTTGACATTTTAATGAAATCCAGTTTATCTGGATTATTTTTCCTTTCGTTTGCTCTTAGGGTGTCACATCTAAGTAACGGTGGCCTAGTCCTCTAGGGCATGAATATTTAAACTTAGTTTCCTTTTAAGAGTTTTATAAAAACACAAATATAAACCTATATATATATTTTTTTCTTTTTTTTTTTTGGAGAGGTTTTTGCTACAGGGCGTGTGCACTCGCCAGACAGACAGAGAGAGACATAGAGACAGAAAGCGAGAAATTACCCCCCAGGGGGGATGGTCACGCCGCAATCCCTTCTCCTCCATTCTCCTCTCAGGATTTTGGGCACACAAGCACACGCGCCCGGTGTGAGTTTTAAGCCACCGGGTCCGGGACACAAACTGCGGTCAACTACGTGGGAGTCCAGCGACATAGCCATTACGCTAACTGCTGGTTCCCCCAAATATTTTTTTTAAGATATATTAAGAGAGGGAACAGGGATTGGCATGGTGGTTGAGATCCAAGACTCTCAGATGACTGACCACAGTTCATGTCCCAGACCTGGTGGGTTGCTTTCTCACTTTCCCTCTTTCTGGTGAATGCATGTATTCCACAGCAAATTTAAAGAGGGGAAAAAAATTAAAATACAACTACTTTGATACACTCTTTAAAAAAAAAAACTTTTCTGGGGGGAGGGGCAGCAGATGGCATGGTGGTTAAGTGCTGGACTTCCATGTGGCCAACCATGGTTTGAGTTCTGAACCTGGTGGCTTGCTTTCTCACTTTCTCTCTCTCTTTCTGTCTCTCTCTGGTGAGCGCACATGCCCTGTAGCAAAAACATGCCCTATAGCAAATTTAAAAAATAATAACAAAATTAGATAATTCTTAAAAATAAATAAAATCGTTTCTACTGTTAGGTAATCACAAAGCTGTTTGAATGTCTATAGCACTTCATCTTGTACTTCAGCTTTCCATTGTCCTTGATTTAGCAGTAAGTAGTTAGCCTTGAAATGTCGTCATTTTGGGAAAATGTTGCTGAAATCTTTATCCTTCTGCAAGTTGGATTTTGCTTTCTTACTGTCCGCTTTGTTGGATGTCTTCCTTCACATCCCCGGTACTTTATCCTGTGCCTTTACTCCAGCTGAGTAGGCAAACAAAGCCATGTAATATGTTGTGATGGGTGGAGAAGAACCAAAACAATTACATTTGAAACCTGAGTTCCTGGCAAGCACATGGTACCAGTGCTTTTGTGAGATGTTCTGCCAAGGCTGGCTTGCTGCTTAGTAAGCAAAGAAGTAATCATTTAGTTTCAGAAAATTCTGATGAAATTGTTTAGCCTTTGTTTCTGATTACACTTTTTGACAGGTAGAACAATTTTCTTGTCTTTTCCAGCTTCTAGAGGCTGGCCAAGTTCCTTGGTTCATGGTCCCTAGCAATTGTCAAAACCAGCAATAGCAGGGTGGGTCTTTCTTCCACTCCAAACGTGCTTTTCCTTGTCACACTCATTCTCTGACTCTCACTTATTTGCCTCCTCCTTCCACATTGTAAGGGCCTTTATGATTACATTGGACCTGCCCAGTTAACCCAGGATAATCTTCCATTTTAAGGACAGCTGTGTTAGCAACCTTAGTTCCATCTGTGACCTTTACTGTCCCTTGCCATGAAACATAACATATTCACATATTTGGGCATTAAGAGGTCGGCATCTTGTGGTGACCAATATTCTACAGACCACAGTGGTAAAACTATTTTGCATGACACTGCAGTGAAGGATACATGAAACTATGCATTTCTCAAGACCCACAGAACCTGGAAGTAGCAGAATCACATGCTTCCCCCAAGATGTCCACTTCTTAATCCCTGTAATCTGTGGGTATGTTACCTTACCTGGCCAGTACACTGTCAGATGGGATTAAGAATAAGGACCTTGAGAATGACTTGACATCAGAGAAACCTGACACACACTGCCTTAGCCAGGTGATCAAGGTCAGCAAGTCATCTTTAGAGCATATGCCCTCAAAATGATGTGATGTATATTTCCATGTGTGTGTAAATTCATTGAAAAAGAATTGGAAGAACATCAATCCTGTAATAATACAATAGAGAGAAGGGTGAAGAGACTTAACTTTGTGTTTCAGATACTTCTGTGCTGTTTACATTTCATTGCAGTGAGAATGTGTTCTGCCCATTTGTTAACTACTTAATGGTTCAGTGGGATTCTGTTCAGTGTGTCCATTTTCACATGTGCTAGTTACATGAGAGAACACGCTCTAAATGGCATACTCTGGCCACAGTTAGTGAAGCCAAGCCCATCAGAGTGTCAGTACTAATCTTTGAGGCAATATTTCCTTGTGGTAGAGGTTGTTAAAATCCTGAAGACTTCTGCTGGGTGGCCGGTTACATGGTACAAACACTAAGTGTCACCCTACAGCAGTGTCAGTCTGTCCACGCACTAGGTTGCTCCCCTGGTGGCTTGCTTTCTCTCTTTCTCTCTCTCTGTCTGATCAAACTGGAAAATAATAATAATAAAAATAATAAAGTTAAATAATTCTTTAAAATAACAATAAATGAGGATAATTGAGTAACATGTTTTCTTGAGTCCCAGCAGATTATAGAATCTGTGGAGGAGATCATGGGTATCTTCAGTTTATATCCGGTCATCAGAAATATGACAATCCTGGGACTAGTGACTGGTACCCTTTCATCAGTAGCCCCCAGTCATTTCTCCCTCCTCTTTGCAGTGAGAATGTGTTCTGCCCATTTGTTAACTACTTAATGGTTCAGTGGGATTCTGTTCAGTGTGTCCATTTTCACATGTGCTAGTTACATGAGAGAACACGCTCTAAATGGCATACTCTGGCCACAGTTAGTGAAGCCAAGCCCATCAGAGTGTCAGTACTAATCTTTGAGGCAATATTTCCTTGTGGTAGAGGTTGTTAAAATCCTGAAGACTTCTGCTGGGTGGCCGGTTACATGGTACAAACACTAAGTGTCACCCTACAGCAGTGTCAGTCTGTCCACGCACTAGGTTGCTCCCCTGGTGGCTTGCTTTCTCTCTTTCTCTCTCTCTGTCTGATCAAACTGGAAAATAATAATAATAAAAATAATAAAGTTAAATAATTCTTTAAAATAACAATAAATGAGGATAATTGAGTAACATGTTTTCTTGAGTCCCAGCAGATTATAGAATCTGTGGAGGAGATCATGGGTATCTTCAGTTTATATCCGGTCATCAGAAATATGACAATCCTGGGACTAGTGACTGGTACCCTTTCATCAGTAGCCCCCAGTCATTTCTCCCTCCTCTCACCTGTAGCAGTTACTTTCATACTGACCGCTCTGCCAGTACTTCATGTCAGAGCAGTCGTGTCAGACTGAGCCCTCCAACTTGTGGGATCTCATGTAAGTCCATGTAGGTAGTATCGAAATTGAGTTAAATTATTATTGGACATCCATTTCATGTTGGAGAATTGGAGAATTTGTTATTGGTGTTGGAAAACACCACCATTAGCATTCGGATTTCTGGATTTTCAAATTATTTCTGTATCAGGTGATACATTTTACATTAGGGTAAGTTCTTTGAAATAGAGCAGTGCTTAAACATTTTCTGGTTTGCTCTGTTGACTTTCTACTTGTAGTGGTACTATGATAATAAAGTCCGTGGTCTTCTTTGTGGAGAACATAAATTGGACTGAAGTTACCTGAAACAGATATAAATAAGTTTCTGTTGTTGGATGTATTCTTTTCCATAATACTTTCCTGATTAACTTTTTAGCGCTGCATCTTCTATTGCTTGCACTGAGCAGAAACTTGGTCAGTTTAGTTTGATGACACTGAGGCTAGTTATTGCTGTTAGCTGTAGAGAAACTTAAAGTTTTTGAGCAGCACACGTCTTTTGGCCAGAACTAAAGCATTGTGATATAGGTCTTGTTTAAGATGTAACCCATCCGTGGGTACCAGTCTGATGCATTGTTCCTGTCTGTTTCTATGTAATGGGAATGTGATACTCTGAAATATAGCCCCAACTTGGCTTCTTGTTTGGTTTGGTTTGTCCTTTTGGTATCGTCTACCCTTGTCATAGAAGTTATCTACACTTGCCAAACTGGTTCTTTCAATGTCTAGCCTGTGGTCATTTCTCCCTTCCTTATTTATAGAAGTTGCTATCATACTGATCTGTTCTCTTGGAATGTCAGAGATGGTCCACGGACTAGATGATTTTCTTCTAATGATTATGGGTTCTTATGCCAAGTGGTCAGCTCTGACACTGTCTTGAACTTATTTGATAATCTATCCCTTAGCTCTCTCAAAGAAAGCAAGAACTTGATATTTTTGTTGAATGCTTAAATTAATTATGCATCTTGAAATATGCTTACTGTCTTCTTAGATATTAATGATGTTAAACCCCTGAAACCTGGCTACCTAGAAGCTACTGTGGACTGGTTTAGAAGGTACAAGGTTCCTGATGGAAAACCAGAAAATGAGTTTGCTTTCAATGCAGAATTTAAAGATAAGGTAATGTGTTATTCAGAACTGTAGCTTTAGGCCTATTGTATTGAGACTTATAACTTAACCATATCGTTACCCTCTAAAGATTAATAAAATGTCATAAAACAAAAATCTAAGGACTTAAGATAATTTTAGTGTTTATTTCTTCATTTAAATAATCTCCTTCATTTTTCACATAAGGTAGTGATTCAAAAGAGACAAAATATTGGGGCTGGCAGGTGGCATGTTAGTTGGGGCGCTGCATTCCCATATGGTTGACTGTGGTTTGAGTCCTAGACCTGGTTGCTTGCTTTCTTACTTTCCCTTTCTCTCTCTCTGGTAAAATAAAAAAATACAATATTAATAATAATCATAAATAAGCCTTTAAAAAAGAAGAGGCAAAGTATCATGTGGGAAAAATGTTGGCAATAAGAAAAGTACACATTTCTATCATTGTGATGCATATTTCTTCCAATTGTAGGACTTTGCTGTTGATATTATTAAAAGCACTCATGACTATTGGAAAGCATTGGTGACTAAGAAAACAGATGGAAAAGGAATCAGTTGGTAAGTGTTAATTAACTTTTCTCTGCATGTTTAACACACAAAGCAAACTACTGGGTTGTCAGAAAAGTCATGATGTTTCTAGGCAGTTAATATTTGGCAAACCTGTGGGGCTGGCAGGTGGTGTGGTGATTAAGGTACTGGACTCCTACATGGCTGACCACAGTTCAAGTCCTGGACCTGGTTGCTTGCTTTCTCACTATCCCCCTTTCTCTCTCTCTCTCTGTCTCTCTCTGGTCAAATTGAATAATAATAATAAATAATTTTAAAAAATAATGATAATAAAATAAATAATTCTTTAAAAAATACATTTGCCAAACGTGTAACAGAGATGTAGGAAAATAAGACTTAACCAAAGACACCCCATAAGTGTCAGAGCTAGGATTCAAGTCTGCCTGTTTTTTAACCCTCTCAATTAATAAAATATACTTCCTCTTAGGTATTTAGAAATTTATAAGAGGATGTTCACTTAAGTAATGTTATGGAAATCCTAGTCAATTAAGTAGTTAAGAGAAATAAATCAGATGTAGGAATATTAAAAGGAGGGAGCGATTGTTGCTGGTGATATGATTGTATACTCAGGAAACTACAGAAGAAAATGAAAATTCAGCAAGGTGACTGATTACAGAATGAGTACATATATATATGTATCTGTAGCTTCTATACAAACTAACAGAATCAGTAATGGAAGAAGAGGTCCCATGTGGAAAGTGTTTTTAAAAAACACCAGGGTTAGGGCCAGCAGGTGGCATGATGGTTAAGGTGCTGAACTTCTACATTGTCAGTGCTGGTTCAAGTCCTGGACCTGGCAGCTTGCTTCTCTCTCTGTGTCTCTGATGAGTACATGTGTTCTATAGAAATTAAAAAAAGATAATAAATTAAATAAACAATATACCCTACAAAGGTATAAACAATAAATTTGTAGGACCTAGAAAATATTGGGTCATCAGAAAAGTCATGTGAATTTTTCTCTTTCTTTTCTTTTCTTTCTTTTTTTCCTGAAAACAGCCACTGTTTATTAACTGACCAGATTACAAAAATAATCATAGTAGGTACCTTAGTTCATCCTTCTAATAAGTCTGTTGACCTGGTTCTTCCTATTGCCAGCATCTCCACCTTACAAAATGGGTGGTCTTTTTCTTCATTCCATGTCATACAGAATGTAACTTAAAGGACCACATGAAATTATATGCTTCTCTGAATCATTTTCCAACAGTATAGATTTTATGAATCAGATCCTTCATACAGATGATATCAAATTTACCAGGAGACTGAACAATCAAGAGTTATCTGTCAAAACAATTTGTTTCTTACTGATTTGCCATAGCCATGTTTGTAGATTAGTTCATTTACTGACTTCAGATTTGGGTACTTCCATGCAGTATATGGTTCCACAATCCTCATCATGTTAATTGAAACCTTGTTGAGCTTAACGAAGGTGCCATTGAAAATCTGGCAAAGGCGAAGAAACTCCACCTTTCAGACCTTTGGTCTCACACCATTGATACCTCTGATCCTGATGACAGATGCCAGTTTGAGTTCTACATGCACATAGAAGTTGTCAGCTTTTCTTGCCACCCTGGCATTGTAAATCTCAGTTCTGTACATCTGTCTATATTTGTTATGATAGTGCTTAGCTTTTTCATAGATAAGTTTTCTGGTTGCCTTTCTTATTACTTTTTTTTTATTTCTTATACACCCAACCACTATCATTAAAGCTTATAAAATGAATTTTCCCAGCATGAATACACTGTATATTAATCCAGTTAAGGATATTATCATACATGCTATCATCAACAAATAATTTTCCATTTTTATGTCCCATAAATGTTTTCAACTTTTCTGTCCCTTAAATGTTTTATTTCTTTTTCCTTTTGATTCTCTTCCTCCTTGCCTCTCAAAACATCTTTTGAGTAAACTTTCTCAGGTGCTTGATCTTCAGCTCTGCAAAATTTCTTCACTTTCTTTTAAAGGTTTCTGCTACAGCAGGAACCTTTTTCTTGATGGCCTCAATGGCAGCAGGGATCTTTTCCTTGTTTTTTTTGCCACAGCAGGAAACTTCATTTTCTTCTCTTCAATGTCCTCCTATGGTTCCAGCTAGAAAAAAGGAAAATTTCGCAGCTATCTGAAATTTAAATCAATCTCATTTTCCATCACTGTAGCACCTCACCCTTTTTGTCTGTGGAAATGGTCTCGAGCAGATGCAGCTAGTCCTGTCATTGTGTGTATTCTTCTGTTTTTCTATGCAAAAATGCATTATGACTTTTCTGATGACCCAATATAATACTATATAGCATCCCATTTCTTTATTATTGTTTTTTATTTGTTTAGGAGATGTAATTTTGCTGTAGGGTATGTGCACTCGCCAGAA